CAGCAGGCCAAGGAAGATTGCGAGCAGTTGCAGGAGGGCGACTTGCTCAACGACGACGACGAGCACCTCCTCGAGGACACCTACACCCAGTGGCGACCCCAGCAGTGTAATGACTACGTTTGCTCGCCTTGGGCGGAGCACGTCACCGAGGCCCAGGAGCGCGCGGGCACGCACATCCCAGCGGGCGAGGATGTGATGGCCAGCATCGCGTACCAGATGGACCCGAACATGGCGCAAGCATTGGCGGTGCAATACGGATACTGGGCCGAGGCGGCGGAGTCGCAGCTGGCCGAGCTCTGCGGCACCGAGCCTCGTGACAGAGCCCGACGTGGTCTACCCGTCAAGTACTAGTGGCGCAAGCAAGGCGCAGGAGCAGACGGCCGACTCGCAGTTCGGCCACGCCTGTGCGCAGGACATCGGTGGCAAGTGGGCCAGCCTCCACGCCAGGGTGCAAGAGCAGCTCATCGCACATGGGCGCCACCGCCACACTGCGTACCAGCGCAAGGTGCAGGACATCGTCTCCGACATCATCAGCAGCAGCAGGTTCCTCCTCACCGCCCAGGGGCCCGTGCCCGAGGACCAGCTGCAGGCCACCAAGGGGAAGTGGCGGGTGCACCTGGACGACGACAGGGTCCTCGGCCACGGCGAGCGCATCCGCTACTCCAGGAACTTCCCCGAGTGGCAGGCCTTTGCGCTGAAGGTACAAGCGAGAGCGGCTAGGCATGCCAGCTTGGCGTGGCAACAGACCCGTAGCGAGAGACAAGCATGGGCCAAGGCAAGTACCCAGGGATCCATGCGAGGCGCCCACCGCTACCTCAAGAAGGACGAAGTGCAGGTCCTCGACGAGACTTGCGTCGACCCCGACACTGGCGAGGTCTGCGACACTGCGCAGGCCTCCACCGAGGCCAGGGCACGCCGCCGGCGTGACCGCTGGACCAGCAAGCCCGACCGCGTGCCTGCTTTGCGCGAGGCGCTGGGCGTGCTGCGGACCCTGGCAAGCGAGGCGCTGCCAGAACGGCGCTACCACACGAGAGACGACATGGTGAACGCCGCCAGGACATTCCCCAAGGCCACGGGCAATGGCCCTGATCAGTGGACGCCAGGCCACCTCCTCGCGGTCTCCGACCAGGGGCAGGAGGCTTTCACCACCCTGCTCAACATGGTGGAGCGCGCCTTGGCCTGGCCGCACCAGCTCCTACACAAGTGGTACGCCCTCCTACCGAAGGGCGCCAAGCAGGTGGTCGGCAATGAGAGGGACATCGGCCTCCTCCCCATTCCCGTGCGCATCTGGGGCCGCATGACCAAGGCTACCATGACTGAGTGGTGCGACAAGCGAGCTGGACACTGGGACACTGCGGACGCGGGAGCTCCGCGCTGCAGGCTGTTCTGCTCACCATGGTGCTCGACGAGACCAGAGCGCATGTCGGCGTGACCGAGCAGCGCAACTTCTTGATGGACGTGGAGAAGTTCTACGGCTTCATGGACTTGGCTCTGATGATCCACAAGGGCATCTCCCTCGAGGTGCCGCCCGTCGAGCTGTACCTGCGTTGCATCACGTACTTGGCGCCGCGAGCGGTCAGGTCACACGGGGCCTTCAGCTCGACCATCGCCCCCAACTGCTCGATCCTCCCTGGCTGTGGGAAGGCCAACCACTGGGCCAGAGCCTTCCTCTACCACCTGTTGGAGGCAGCCCATGCGAGAGCACCCGCGGCAAGGGCGCGGCAATACGTGGACGACGTGCACAGCCGTATCGAGGGCACGGCCGAAGAGGTCCCCGACCAGACCAAGGACGTCGCGGTCACCCTGGCACAGGGCTGCCTTGACCTCGGCCTGCGAGTTTCGCCCCAAGTCCATCCTGATGATGACGAGGCCCAAGGATGAGAAGGCTGCGCTGACCTACGTGCACCAGGAGACGGGCATCCGCGTGCAGAGGGCTGCCACGGCGAAGGACCTTGGCATCGACTGCACCATGGGCGCCAGGCGCAGCAACAAGACGGCCAGGACGCGGATGTCGGCAGCGAGGGCGAGGGCTACGCGAACAACTCTATTCCACCGCCTGGGGCGCGGCAACAAGAGGACCAAGGGCGTCATGCTGCACAACACCAACATCAGGGCGAAGCACCAGTTCGCCGACCCGATCATCGGTGCGCCCCCCTCGACGACAACGCGGCGACGGGCTCAGGCAGCGGACCTCACAGGCCACACCGTGGGCGGGCGCTGCACCTCCACCACCCTACTGCTGCACTACCAGGACGACGAGCCCAAGATGGCGGCCTTGGCGCAGCAGGTTAAGGAATGGTTCTACTTTTGGGCGCAACACCCTGAGCTGCGAGACCGTGTTCGACTTGGTTGGCGTGCGGTGCTCAAGAGGCTCCTGTACATGCGCCCGCGTGATCGGTGGAAGTGCGTCACGGGGCCCATGGGCGCTATCATCCTGGCCCTGCGCGACATCGGCTGGATACCGCGGGCGCCCGACGTCTGGATCGGTGACGAGGGCTCCGAGTGGCGGCACCTTGGCAACGACGACGACAGCGTGCAGGACCTCGTGAAGGCGATCAAGAGCACCGTGCTGCGCCAGCTGTGGCGCCAGGCTGGTGACCACCCCCTCGGAGCGGGCCTCGGCGGCGGCGGCGATCTCCACATGCTGAGAGTCAACCTGAGGAGGATGCGCCGCCAGGAGCGCCACCAGGAGACAGGAGCCCTGGAGGCGGCAGCGCTGGCTGGAATCTGGACGGGGGCGAGGGCCAGGGCAGCAGGCTACACGTGTTCTGACGACTGCGAGCGTTGTGGCGAGGGCAAGGACACCATCGAGCACAGGCTGAACTTCTGCTCGGCCACCTGCGAGATGGAGGACCCTTGGATTGCGCGCACTGAGGACCTCCGTCAACGTGCCATAAATGATCTGTCGGAAAATCGCCACGTCGCTTTCTGGACCAGGGGGATCGTTCCCCCTGATTGGGTGGCCGTGCCGCCGCCGCCTGCCTGGAACTCAGGAGAGGGGCTGGGCGTCTGGGCTGTCGGCACCTCCCCCCCGCTCCTCGACCCCTCCTCGTGCGTCGTCCTTCCTTCCCTCCTCCTCTCCTGCCCTCACGTATGATGGATCGTTCAACGTAGGAGCAGGTGAATACCCAGTCCGCGCACGTCTGGCGTTCTTGGACGGGCCGGCCACTTCCAGCGATGCCCGAGTCTGCCGCGTGGGTTGGGGTGTCCACTTTGTGGGGGGGTGGGCGGAGCCGGAAGAGGACGGCGGCGAGCCTTCTGGATTTTTCGGCACCGCAGACGGGGACCAGACGGCCCCCGTCGCAGAGCTGGCTTGCCCTCTGGAGGGCGCTGCAGCTTTCCACGGGGCCCCATGGACCTTTTTCACCGATTGCCAGCTGGTGTTCGACGGCTGGGCCCAAGGGAAAGCCCAGGATCCCAGGGGATGCCACGCCAAAAGGTGGGCCCGAATTCGCTCGGCCCTCGAGCGCCGAGGGGGCCAGCACGTCCGCCTTTTCAAAATCTTCTCGCATTTGTCCTCCTCCTCCTCCTCCTCCTCCTCCTCCTCCTCCTCCTCCTCCTCCTCCCCTCCTCCTCATCCTCCTCCTCCTCCTCCTTCCTCCTCCTCCTCCTCCTCCGCCTCCTCCGCTCCTCCTCCACCTCCTCCGCCTCCTCCTCCTCCTCCTCCTCCTCCTCCTCCTCCTCCCGAGGAAATGAGCTCGCGGATGCACTCGCCCAGCGGGGGGGCGGCGAATGCTGCCACCCCGATTCGGTCCCACGTCAAGGCCCTACAGGTGGCCGACGCCCGAGCGACCCTCGTGCACCAGCGAATCGGCGCGGTCTTGGCCCCGATGTGTGCGGAGGTCGATCGAGGGGCTCGCTCGGCGTGGCTCGGCGTGGCGGACGGTTCGGCCGGCTCCGTTTCGGACCCGGGTCGGACCGGTGAGCTCGAGGCCCGTTCGGGGCACAGCCTGTCTCGCCTGAGCTCAGGTAGGTGGGCCTGCAGTAAATGCCGACAAACCCCAAGGCGCCTTTCCTTGGCTGACTGGCTCCAGTGTGGGGGGCGTGTCGCGGGGACATATGTAAGAGGGGTCTGAGCGAGCAAGGCCACCACGTTTACGTCCCCCCCACCTGTATTGGCGAGTTGAAGGTCGGCGCCCGCAGTGTGCACCCCTCTCACTCCATAGATATGCAGAATGGCCTGGCCTGGTGCTGGAGGTGTGCCAGGTACGCCCCCATCGATGCTGGAGGGGGGCGGCTCTGCAAGTTGGCCCACGAGTGCCCCCAGGAGCGCACCCCCTCTGGCCAAACGATGATCAATCGTCTCCGTCGCGGCCTCACCCCGAAAGCGGGGATGCAATGGCCCATACCCCCTAGTGGGGGTGGCGGATCGGCTCCCTTGCCTGTGGTCGGCAGCTCGGCCAAGGATTTCGGGAGGCGGACGGACGGGAGAGTCGGCAGCTCGCTCAAGGCCCCCCCCCGTCGACGTCAACCCTAACCTGTTTGCAGATTACCCGTAATCTGCACGCGGGGGGGCGTAGCACTGCTTCGACCCCTTCTTGTTCGAGCTTTCCCGAGCTGTCCCTCCTCCTCCTCCTCCTCCTCCTCCTCCTCCTCCTCCTCCTCCTCCTCCTCCTCCTCCTGATTGGTTGGCCTGGCTTGGTGAAGACAGGTGTGCGCGGCGCCGCGGCGAGGGCCCTCACTACTTTGAAAACAACCCGCCGTCCGTCCGCGCAGAGGAGTGGCTTCGTTGAGGAACGGCGCGCGCGGGGCCCGGGCGAGAGCCCCACTCTCTGGAGACGGCCCGCCCTCCGTCCGCGCAAAAGTGTGCGAGGATCTTGGAGACGGCCGTGCGCGGCGCCAGAGGCGGCGGAGGAGGAGAAGGAGGAGGAGGAGGAGGAGGAGGAGGAGGAGGAGGAGGAGGAGGAGGAGGGAGGAGGAGGAGGAGGAGGAGGAGGAGGAGGAGGAGGAGGGAGGAGGAGGAGAAGGAGGAGGAGGAGGAGGAGGAGGATCTTGGAGTCCCCTTCTGGAGGCGGCCCGCGCTCCGCTCGTGCTGTGAAGGCGGGCGGGCGCGGCACCCAGTCGGGAGCCTCGCTTCGCAGACGGTCCGCCCTCCCTCCGTGCCATCGCTGGGGGTGTGCGAGGCGGGCGCGCGCGGCACCGAGGCGAGAGCCCAGCTCCGATAAGGCCCCTCCATGGTGCAGCTGCTGGAACCTTCGGGCTCGAATGCCATGGACGGTGGCGACGTCTCGGGCGAAGCGCCCAGCCCGCCCCAGCGACGCGTCTGGTGGTTCGACGGGGAGGAGTTGCGCGCAGGAGGGAAAAGGAGGATCAGGAGGACGTAGAGTAGGACGACCAGAAGGAGCACAAAGAGGAGGGGGGGAGCAAGCGGTGGAAGAGGAGCAGGAAGACTCGGAGGAGCATGATGAGAAGGACGGGGGATGAGAAGCAGCAGGACAGGAGGAGAAAAAAAATGCTAAAGAAAGTGGTTCTGCCTGTACTCGAGCTGGGGCATGAAAACCACAGCATGACCGGGTGGACAACCAAACGCGCGAAGTAGGACCGTATTGACCTTGCGGGCGCTGCTATGTGTTTCATGATGTTACACATCCCTCCGCTGCTCGCTCCAGCGGACAACGTAGAAAAGAGAGACAGAGAGAGAGAGAGAGAGAGAAACGAGAGAGAGAGGAAAAAATGGTGAGAAACTATCAAAAAAAAAACATACATGTACAACTATGTGTACATGTACGGGTGATGCACTTCGAAATGAAGAGGTGGAAAGAGAGAGGGGAACAAGCAAAACATACATCTTGGACGCTCTGGATATGTGGCTAGTCAGAGCAAACTGGCTTCCAGCCACATGTTATGAGCGGCGTTGTCCATCTGGCATAACGCACTCCAACGCCTCGCGCCAACTACCCCAGAGAAGAGGCCAACAAAGTGTTGTTGAATAGAGGTCAGGGGCGACCGCACAGTAACAGACACGCACACGTCATTTCGGACTGGAGGGTGGAGAGCGACGCGCATGGCCACCCTCGTGGTGTATACGCGCACTTGCCTTGGCCCTGCATCGAGCCACCGGAACAAGCGGCACCAAAAATGGAACAGAACCGCGAGTCCCAATAGGAGGGGCGCGAGACTTACCCGCGACTGGGACCGTCACAGCTCCTGGCTCGAGTTGAAGAAGCCAGAGGCGCACGAGGGAGAACGGCAGGAGAAAGCCGCGCAGGAGGCCGGCACACCACGGTTCGGGCAAAGCAGGAGCGCGACACGGGCGGTCGCGGATAAATTTCAGCGGCTGCGGCGTTTCTCGTTCCCTCTTTGCCCTCCACGTCCCCGTCCCCCTGCCCTCTTCCCCAAGGGCTCCCAACTTCGCGCTTCGCGCTGCGCGAAGCGCGAAGTGCGAATAACTTCGCGCTCTCGCGCCGCCTCCCAAGGGAGAAGAGGAGGATGAGGAGGAATCGGAGCCGAACCGCGAAGCGCGAAGCGCGAATAACTTCGCGCCCTCGAGGGCGCCCTTGCTTCCCTCGTCTTTGTCAATTCTGGCGCGCCTTTCGCCACCTCGCCTTCCAGTTCTCCCCTCCCCCCTCTTCTCCACCGACTGCCTCCCCGTGTTCTGACCCTCTCCTCCCAGATGTGTTCTCTGCATCACCTCTCTCCTAGCGCTTGCACCTGAACGAAGAGGGGAGAGGAGGAGGAGGAGGAGGAGGAGGAGGAGGAGGAGGAGGAGGAGGAGGAGGAGGGGGGGGAGGAGGAGGAGGAGGAGGAGGAGGGAGGAGGAGGAGGAGGAGGAGGAGGAGGAGGAGGAGGAGGAAAGATTTGGGCTTGATGTTTTGTTGTGATTGTTATTCTTGATTGTTTTTGTTGTTGCCTGCTTTCTTTTTGGGGGCTTGAAGCGGGCTCGTCCGAGCCAGCAGGACCGAACCTCACGCGTGGCTGGTTCCGTACGCCAGCCCGCATCCGTTTGTGTGAGTTGTTCTCCCTACCATCTACGTGCCCGTTTCGTTGGGCCTGTCTGGCCAACGCGCTTCCCTCTCAGACTCGTCTTCCCGAGCCAGCCTGGCATCGTCGGGCACGATGGATACGATCCACAGCGAGAGCGACTGTTAGATTGGGCGCTGCAGCCAAGCTTTTGCAACATCATCATAAATCACAGCTACTTCCGGTCAAGATGGCGTGGTCAAGCTCGGTCGGAGGATCAGAGAGGGGGAAACAAGAGCGGCAAGGGGATCGAGAAGCAGCCGAAGGCACCACCAGCGACCAGACAGCCAGCCCAGAGCTGGAAATGCGGAGGATGCCAAGAGCAGAACCACGTTCGCTTCAGATATTGTCGCATGTGCGGAGGTCACTTACAGGCTAAGGTTCCGCCTCCAGCAACCTCTAAAGCATGCTCAGACGACGGGACGGTCACTGAGTCAGCCCCGCCTTGGTCCAAGCCGGTGAACTACGGTCAGCAGATCGCCAAATGCCAGCATGTCCTTGACGCTCCCAGCAAGTCTCCCGATTCCGAAGGCAGCAGCGCAACTAAACAGAAGATCGAGGAGGCGCTCGAACACATCAGGATGGAACGGGACACTGCAAAGTCACTACAGCAGCTCCTCATGGTTGCGAACCAGAAGCTGATGAAGGCCCATATCAGCATGAGCAAGCACGAGGAGGACATGTGTGACTACTGCGACCAGATCAGTGAGTTGGAAATGACAATCAAGGCGCGGAAGGAGATGATCGTACAGGAGGAGGAGCACATCGCTGAATGCCAGACCCGCATCGCGGAGCAGATCGCTACGGGGCAGCAGCTAGCGCCTTAATCGTCGAGTGGGCGCCACCCTGAAGCACCTGAACAACCAGTCGCGAGCCCGACACCGACGGGATCCATCAACTCTGTCATGACCGAGATGACGGCGTTCCAGCAGCGCCTCACGGAGGATAAACAGAGGCTGCTAGGTCCCAGGCAGCAGCTGCTGTCCACGATTCAGGCGATGCAGGCGACTCAGTACCAGTGGAAGCGCCAGTGCATCCAGGGGTGGGTACGCCAGCTCCCACCTAGCTCCTGCGACGCCTACGGGGACCTCTACCGGTTCGGGTAAGACCACGAAAAGCAAAGGCCGCAAGTCTAAGTCTATCCGCGACGGCAATTGAAGGAAGCTGCGCCCGCAGCCGCAGTCGCGAGCAAGAAGAGGAGGAGGCAACGGACGGAGGTCGAGCGGCAGCTTGACTTTTGTGTCAGCGGAATCTCCAGTACCAGCACAAGTTTCAAGTAAACACCTCATGAAGGGGCTGAGCATCATGACAGCCCATGGGTCAGGCTGAATTTCGGCGAAGCGCATCATTGTCCCAGTTCCGAACACATCGTTCTAGTGCAGGAGCACAAATGACAGGCCCCTCAGGTTGCTGAAGCTAAGGCCTCTCTCACAGAGAAAGGTTGGCACTCGTTTTGGGAGGAGGGTAATGACACGGGTAAAGGTACGTAGGCGAGTGTCGCGACTTTGGTCCGAGGATACTTGGATGCTTGGCAGCCCTCCGAAACTTGCGCCTGGCCCCACAGAGACGACAAGATTTGGCATGTTTCACGGATTTGGGTGTCAGCAGCATCTACTCGAACTATTGGCATGACAGCGTTGATTTGAATGGTGAGAACATCGCTAACGCTCTGGCTTTGGGAAACCACATCCTAGCCCATGACCTTCTTTTCATCTCGGCAGGGGACCACAACTTGGAGCCCCACTTCCTGGAAACTGACGCCCCCCCTCGCAAATGCAAGGGGGAGATCATCATTCCGGAACCGCCCATCATTTGCACGGCTGGCCAGTCCAGGAAGCGCTACGATGTTTTCATGTCTCCGACCCCCTTCAGCATGCGGTCAAAGACTCCGTCACGAACATGGGGGCTCATCTTGCACCTCATGGGCCTGTGCTCCTCCAATTCGTCTGGGACCCAGGGGGCAAGATGGTCAGGCGTCTAGGCAGAAGCTTCCCACTGTTTTTCCTGTTGGCCCTAGGCCCGAAACACCAGATTACAGTTACCTCGACGGCTCCTGCGATGCGATCCTCGATTATTTCCAGGGGCCCGACGGGAAGCATTCCGTGACCCCGAGCTCAGAGGTTGAGCGCCAGAAGATCCAGGAGGCTTTGGCTAGGGCAGTCTCGGGATGGCATAATACAGCGCGGGGCGAACTCAAAGACGCACACCAGACGCATCCAGAGCGAGGGGCGTCTGGAGGCACGGAACATGAGTTTGAAGTAATCCCCTCACGGGGCCTGACTGGGGCCGCAAACTTGACAAGCAGGTTTCCGACGTGACCCTGAGCCATGACGACCTCATCCACGGACTCGAGATTCTCGGGGCGGAGGCGGAGGAGGCGCCTATGGTTGTTCCCCCTCGGAAGAAGAAGGAAGCCCGCATCAGCTGGAGCAGCTGGTGCTCAGAAGCATTGGAAGGCGGGGCCAAGTGTGCCCATGCATACACTGAGGTGGCTGGGGAGAGGAAGGGGCAGGTTCTTCACGGCTGCGACAAGGGGCTCCAAACAGCTTACCCGACAGCCGCGTGGCCCAACCAGGTCGAGGAGCGGCCAAAAGCACGGAGCATGGAGCGCCAAGGAGACCCGCAAACAGACTCCGCGCGTTCGGCCTGCAACACCGAACCACGGGGTTCCGAAGATCGATGAAATCAGGCAGATCCCCCTCCTTCTTGCGGAACACGATCGACATTGGCTGGTTGCACCCCAGGCATTGCGCAGCCCTCTCGGACGGGGCGCTGGCCATCCGTTGCAAGATTCTCGTTCTCTTCAGACTGTGTAGGGGCTCACCCTCGTGAATGCGAACATCGGTATGCTGGTTGTTCGCGGAACCTAAGAAAGGGTTCCGACCGATCGGCTTCTACCAGTCTAGGCCCGATGGCGTCGAAATGGAACGCCAAGGTCTTGCACGGATGGGAGCTGACCCTCAGGAAATATGGCACGTTTAACATGGCACCGCACTGGCATACCCTGGACTGAGTCTGGAGGCAGGCCGTCAGGGATGACAATGCAGACATAAGCAATAAGCATATCATCAAAACCCTAAGGGATCTTAGGCAGCGCTACGATCATGTACGACACGAAGGCCTAGAAGAGGCTGCAGCTAGTTGTGCAGATCCGCTGCACATGCTGCAGTCTGTCTTTGGGACCCACCAGTGACCCAGAGTATGGATGCTGGCTGGCCAGGCCTCGCGAAAGTTATTCCCATGGCAGGGCGTCGTGGCTGGCTCCAGTGCAGCTACCTTCAAGATCAAGCGCCACATGCTCCCAGTAGTATCCTCGTACCCACTATCCAAAGAGCAGCCCAACATAGGCATGTACATCGACGACATCAGCGTAGACCCTAGCGAGTTCTCCCTATCTATGGTCATCAGTCAACTGCGCCGCGCACTAGCAGAACTCGTGGACCGTTTCGGGAACGAGCTTGGGCTCCCGTTTGCGATATGCTTAATACGACTGGCAATTCGGAGGTGCTCATGACATTCGCTGCACACCGAATGGATTGCTACGCGAGCGCTGCGGGTGGCGAGCCCGCGGTCATCAATTTGGGCTGCGACGTTGCTCCCGGCAAGAATCGCACGAAGCCCCATGTCATGGAGAAACGGCAAGCCAGATGGGGGTAAAGCGAGAGGCAGACTGAATCAGGCCTTCGACAAGGACAAGGACCAACTCGAGGGCCTCCCTCAGAACTCCAGCTGGGGCAAGAAGAGCTTCGGGGTCTTGGGGCACGTGTTCTGCTGGGCTAAGAACGTGTCTTGGAAGTCCCCGCTGACAGAATACGTCATCCGAACGGGGCCGAGTTTTCTCCTGACAAAGACCCCACCTACTACGGTCGAGGCCTATCTCACCGAGGACCTCCGCTCCATCCTCCTGGCCCCCGAGGTTCTCAACAGGCTCCCGACTACTTATGGAGGTTCGGAGGCTCCAACAGCTACTGACGGGATCCGCGACAGAGGCTTCTGGACCATCCCCAACAGACCTTTTGCAAGAGCCAGGAGGTCAGACAGACAAAGGCATATCGTGCTACAGGTTTCTTTGCGACAGCTGCGTCATCGCTGCCAAGCTCCACCATTGGGGCTACCAGATTTCACCGCTGAGCAGTGCGCGTTGCACGAGAGCAAATTCGCCCTGGCATCGAGCTTGGGAACGAAGCTCGAAGGACCGGGAGAGGAGTGACGTCGTTGGTGGGAAAACCCTCGGGAAGCCCCGGAAGCTGGCCCTGACGACTTGTTATTCGGGCATCTCTGCGCCCCGGTTCCTGAACACAGGGCCCAACCTCATGGAGGCGCAGACCTGGGTGTCTGGACGCTGAGGGGACCACGGAACCTCTGTCAGTTCAGAGGAGACGATCTGACTTTCTCGGACGGCAGCTGCTACAGCCCTGAGTGCTCAGGCTCAGGCGAGAGCGGACCCCCCCTGGCGAATCCCCGCGTGTGACATGAATCCATGGTGCATCGGCGGTGCTCGTAGAGGTGAATGACGAATCGTAGGAGCCAGTCTGGCAGGCCCGCTGCCCGCAACGCCGAGTGTAGGAAAACGTGCGCGACGCTGGGAAACGCCGCCTGGAAGTCGAAGAACCAGGCAGCCCCTCGCTCGCGCAAAAGAGCTGCTAAAATCATTGCCTCGTCTGCGTCGACCACGTTCGAAAACATGGAGCGTCCAGGGACAAATCCTCGTTGATCCAAGGGGATAGCTTCAGACAGCGGCCCCTCCATGCAGAGCCTCATCGCGTTCGCCCTCGACCCGTTGTCGGCGTTGGCGATGTTCAAAGGGCGCGCGTTCCCGGGCGAGTGGCCTGTGCGTCCGTCTCGGAGTAGCCCGTGCCCCTTCGGGAGGAACACCATGAGACTGGCGCTGAAGCCGCAAAAACAATCTTCGAGATCACCCGGGGGGCTCCTCCGACGTCAGCGCCTGCAGCGCTCCCCACAACACATCCGTAGCTAGCGGCCCGAGCTCTCTCCAAGCCGAGAATGGGATTCCTTCGGGGCACGGAGCTGAGTTCGTCGAATTCTCTACGGCCGCTTCCGTATGGCTGCGACGCAGTTGCCACGCCTCGTCGTCGCGCGGCGGCATGGACGGCGGCGCGTCGTCGGCGAGCCGGTTGTCCAACAGTTGGCGGTCCAGTGGGCGGCAGGAACAGACGTCCCGCCAATGCGTCCTGGGGGAGCTTCTGCCATCTCGGCTGGGTCGGTGAGCACCCCGCCGCCCAGATCCACCACCGCAGATAAGCCCGCTGAGCGCCCAGGGGAGAGACGCTGCAATAGCCTGCGGATGCGACTCCACCAGGCACTGAGCTTCTCTGTGGGCAGGAAAACCTGCTGGGCAAGGCGAAAATACAAATTGCGAGGCCCCACGAAGCCCCCGCAAGACACCCAAGGAGGCCTCCAGCGAGACCCGATAGGGCCAAAAACCTAGGAGGGTTCAATGTGTACGTGGTTATTCCAGTGTTGTTCGGCTGCCCATCGCCTCGGGGAAGCTCCAATACGCCCCAAAACAGCCCCAAGACTGCCCTAGAACCCCCCCGCCAAGACGGCCCAAGACTGCCCCAAGAGGGCTCCAAGACGGACCCGACGTCCCCAAGATGGTTCGACGGAGCCCCTTCGGGAGACGTCCAAGGCGGGCACAGTACTGCCCCAAGACTGGCCTAGAACCCTCCAGAAAGGCCTAAGACTGCCCCAAGAGGGCTCCAAGACGGCCCCAAGACCCGCCCAGACGACCCCAGGATGATGCCACCGAGCCCCCTCGGCAGACGCCCACGACGGGCTCGAGACCCCCGACGGGCCCCAAGAGGGCCCCAGGCTGCCCCAGAGAAGCTCTCAACCAGCCTTCAAGATGCCTTCAAGAGGGGGGGGGAAGGGGGAGGGGGAGAGAGAATGCAGAAGCATCAGGATAACGAGGCTGCGGACAAGGAGCAGGTGCATAAACCCGAGACAGCTCAGACACGGCGCCGAACTGGAGCGGGTCCGCATCTCAACCTCCTCTCGGCGACGGCGGCAGTGCGTACCGGCGACCAGCCGTGGCGGCGGACGACCCCCTGGTGCAGGCGAGGGCGACGGGGCTCCTCGACGACGTCGACGGGGATCGTCGGCGACCAACGGCGACAGTGCTCAACCCCTCAGCGCAGACGACCGTGAGGGGGCTGCACAGCGATATTGATGGGGCTCGTCGGCAACTGGCGACCGGCGACGGTCGACCCTGAGCGCAGGGGGCAGCAACATGTACGAGGCAAGCGAGAAACCCAGTCAATGCAAGCACTGCTTCGCGGACTGACTGTGGAATGCTGCTCCGCTTCGCTCCCCTCGTCCTCGCACTCAAGAGAACCTGCCGAGGCTGTGAGAGGTGCTCAAGACGGCGCAAGAGCATCGCAGGGGGGCACACCAAAAGAACCCCACGAGGAGCCTGGTGGCCCCAAGAGGGACCCCAGAGGACGCCAAGAGGGCCCCCAAAGGCCCCCAGAGAGCCGCAGAGATCCAAGAAGGCACCAAGAAAACCCAGAGAGAAGCCTAACAGGGCTGCAAGAGTCCTAAGAGTATTCAGGGGCCCCGAGAACCCGAAAGGGGGCCCAAGACGGCCTCAAGCACGCGATTGCTTCAGGCAGGTTGTGCAAGACTTGCGTGCGAGTGCTCCTCTGGGGGGCCGTCGCTCGGTGGGCTCGAGGAATGAAGGTGGAGGCAAGAGATGGCCGAACCTGGCAGCCCTGGATCCCAACATGTTGACGTCTCGCCCGTACTTCCGCTGCGGGGCCGCCGCCGTTGCAACTCCGCGGGCTTCCGCCGGGGGCGGGTCGCGCCGAGGGTTGGGCCCCCCCCTCCGGCACGCCCCACGGACGGACAGACGGACAGAGGGACGGACGGAACAGGCAGACGGAGCGGGGAGGGCAGAGGGGGCTGCCAGCCCTCGGGGGGGGCCCACGCTGCCTGGCGCCCCACTCTGGCGACACCGCCGTGTAGTAGCGCATCCACTCCCAGCATCTCCTGGCCCCCTTCTCCTCGAAGCCGTGGTTGAGCAGGACGGGCACGTCGCCTAACCGCTTGACTGGGCACAGGGCAGGGAGCGAGGAACAACAGCAGGGGGCGAACATGGAGGCACCAGGGATGGAGGGGCCAGCAGAAGGCACAAACGGATGGAGCAGCCAGGACGGAGCAGGCGCTGTGGATGCTGCAGGGGCACCGTGAACGGAGGAATCGGGATGCAGAGAACGAGAAGAGGCGCTGAGGAATGGAGGGCGCACGTCTGGCCCCCCGTGGGTGCGCGAGCCCGCTGGACTCTTCACCCGTGGGGCTTGACGGCGTGAGGACTCGACGGGCGGTCCCGGCGGGGGCCTCCAACGAGCCGGCGAGAGCAGGACCACGGCGCCGCGCGCGCACCGAGGACGACCAGGAGGGCGAGCGAAGGCGGCACGGGATGAGGACGGGGGCAAGGAGGAGACGGGGGCGACGAGGAGCATGGGCCGTGGAGACGCGGAGGGCAGAAAGAGTGCAGTGCACCTGCCCAGGCCCCGTCTGGCAGAAGAGGGGGAGGGGAGGGACGAGGGAGAGAGGCGAGATGGGGGGGAGGAGGAGGAGGAGGAGGAGGAGGAGGAGGAGGAGGAGGAGGAGGAGGAGGAGGAGGAGGAGGAGGAGGAGGGAGGAGGAGGAGGAAGAAGAGGAGGAGGAGGAAGAGGAGGAGGAGGAGGAGGAGGAGGAGGAGAAGGAGGAGCAGCAGCAGCAGCAGCGGCAGCAGCAGCGGTAGGCGAAGGTGGAAGGGGAAGGAGGGGAGAGGGGAGGAGGAGGGGGGAAGGGGACAGGAAGGGGGGAGACAGAGAGAAGAGGGAGGGGAAGGGGGAAGGGGAGAGGGGGAGGGGAGGGAGGGGGGAAGGGCAAGCTAGGTGCGCTCGCGTCATATCTGACGTCCTACCCCTCCCTCCTATCCCTTACCATGGCGCTGATTTTCTCTATCCGCGGACGCGTGTCGTAGCGGACCTGTGGCTCCGCGCGCGCGTGCGTAGTGGGTGGTGGTGCGCGTGCGTGCGTGCGTGCGTGCGTGCGTGCGTGCGTGCGTGCGTGCGTGCGTGCGTGCGTGCGTGCGTGGTGGTGGTGGTGGTGGTGGTGGTGGTGGTGGTGGTGGTGGTGGTGGTGGTGGGTGGTGGTGGTGGTGGTGGTGGTGGTGGTGGTGGTGGTGGTGGTGGTGGTGGTGGTGGTGGTGGTGGTGGTGGTGGTGGTGGTGGTGGTGGTGGTGGTGGTGGTGGTGGTGGTGGTGGTGGTGGTGGTGGCGCGGCGCGGTGGTGGCGGGCGGATGGGCGCGCGAGAAAGAGGCCCGCGCTGAGGCGAGAACGCCATCCTGAACGACGGAGGCCAAACACCGATCCGAAAATGAGGCCCACGCTGCAGCGGGAGCACGATTCGGAACGATTCGGGAGCAGAAATGAGGCCGGCGCCTCAGCGAGAGCAGCATTTTGAAAAAAAACGCAGGCGAAAACCCAACTCCCGGGAATCCTGTGTGTAAAAAACAATACGCAGGGGGGGGTCTAATGCTTTCAGGCCGCCATCGGGGGAAGAGGGAGAGTAGTATTCATATTGAGTAATTGTGGAGGGGGGGAGGGAGAACCAAGGAGGGGGAAGAGGGAAGGTGCAGGGCTCGTGCCTGAGCGGAGGGAGCCGTGGAGTTCGGAGACCCTCGGAGGTTCGCACACGTGTCACTGCACCGACCTTGCAGACGTGCTGCAGCGGATTTTTGCGTGGATTTCTGTTAACGCAAAACTCCGAAACAGCGAGTGAAAAACGAAGTGAATTACGCGCGGATGTTTTTTACTTTTTATTCCTGGCCAAAAAAAACGCACGAAATTCACCTCGAAATCCGGAACGAAATTCTCCAGGACACTCTGGGCCCATCCTATCGTTTTCCGAACGAAATCCGCTCTGCGATGTTGGCGCCATGATACGTGCCTCCTTCCTCAAGGCTGCCACCGGGGACCCTCTGAAGCCCAAAACCCCCTGCTTGACCGTCAGAGCCTCCCCTACTTTGGACTCCCTGTTCTACCACCTCTTCTGGGCACAGAATATCTTACCTCCCATCCTCTCAACCCCCTCTTCCTGACTCCCTTTGACGATCTTCCTCGTTCTGCCTCTGTTGACCGTCTGCTCGCGACTCTCTCTTCCTGTCTCTATCCCAACCTGGCAATCCTCGAGCCCACAGGAAGGTATCGAAGAGCTGCCACCTGTGACGTTGCTGTGCATCTCGTGCAACCGTTCCCAAGTCATACCTGCCATTTCTTCTGATGGACCAGCAAGGCGAAATATGTTGGGCGAACCATCATGAATCATGAATATGCTTGATGCAAAGATGTTGTCACGATTGGCCTGACGTCATGCAGAAGTCTTTCGGAATCCGTCTGGACGCAAGCGGGGCCAGTGGAATTGCAACGGGGAGGTCACGGCTTCAAACAAAACTTCCCAGCAAGCAAGGTCCATATACTCCCCAAATTAATGGACAAGTACGGAAAATAACAAACGACAACGTAAAATATGTTGAAGCCATTGTATGATCCCCAAGATGGCACCTCAAGCCACCCCGTTTACACTCATCCCACGTGGATATCGCCTGGCAAGCCCCCGTAAAGCCAGCAGCATCCAAGGTGGCCTGGGTCGACTTGTGGATGTATCGACCATGCGGGGTTGGTTGTGCCAAGGGCCACTGAAAGCCGAAAAAATGAGGGAGAGGGGAACACGCCTAGGCGATGCCCCAAGCTCGCCCAATCCCCCTTCCTCCTCCACCCACCTCCCTCCGATCCCCTCCCCTTCCTCCACATTATCACGCTCATCGTAAGCATCATCATCACCATCAACATCAACATCAACATCATCATCATCATCATCATCATCATCATCATCATCATCATCATCATCAGCAGCAGCAGCATCATCATCATCATCATCATCATCATCATCATCATCATCATCATCTTCATCATCATCATCATCGTCATCATCATCATCATCATCATCATCATCATCATCATCATCATCATCATCATCATCATCATCATCATCATCATCAATAATCAGCAGCAGCATCAGCATCAGCAGCAGCAGCATCATCATCATCATCATCATCATCAACATCATCATCCTCATCCTCATCCTCATCAGCATCTTCATCAGCATCATCATCCTCAGCATCCTCATCATCATCCTCATCATCATCAACAACAACATCATGTCCATCATCGGTATCATCATCAGCATCATCATAATCAGCATCATCATCATCAGCAGCAGCAGCAGCTCATCACATCCTCATCATCATCATCCTCATCATCATCCTCATCATCAGCAGCAGCATCAGCATCATCAGCATCATCATCATCATCATCATCATCATCATCATTCATCACATCATCATCATCATCATCATCATCATCATCATCATCATCAGCATCATCATCATCATCATCATCATCATCATCATCATCATCATCATCATCATCATCATCATCTCATCATCATCATCGTCATCATCATCATCATC